TTATTTATAAATATATATATTTAAAATATAGATTATCATATTTATAATTTGTATATATAAATTATTTCTTATATCTTATATCTAAAATATTCAAAATATGCTAAATAAACATTAAATGTCTTATATAAAATAATGTATTATTTTTAAATAATTCAAAATATGCTAAATAATTATTAAATATATAAAAAATATATATTTCTTGTATAAAGTAATTACATTTCTAAAATATTCAAAATATGCAAAATAACTATTATATGCAATATATAATCATTTTCATTTCTTGTGATTTTCAGGTGGATTCTGACCTGCTGTTCCTGACAGGAATCATCCATGTACTGCAGAGCCTGATATGATTGTGTCTAGAGGGGGACAGACGGGTGAACATCCTTCCCTGGGGGGCAACGCTGCAATAATCACGTGAGCGAGAGCAGAGCCCTGGACTCAGAGAGACACGCCGTTCAACAGCACGCGCTCTCTCCTCACAGATGCTCGTCTCTGGGCCCCTGCAGAGAGAGCGGAGCCCGAGGGCCCCTGAGACGCGGAAGAGCTCGGGGGCCGCACACTGACGGCGACGCCACAGAACGAGTCTCTCGCTCGCACTGAAAGTTGAGTTCGCGTTTACAGCGATCAGGCAGTTGGAGGATAAATGATTAAACGCATTCGGAGGGAAAGACAGGCAACGCTAACAGAGTTTACCAGGGAAACACATTACCGCAGTAAACACCACAATATACAGCTACTGCTGCTACTGCTGCATTGTGAATTATTGCAAAATTACTACAATAAAACTGTGGCAACAAGTATTAGTCACTTTACTGACTAATACTTGAAAGGACTTTACTGCTATAATAATAACTAATTATGATACCTTATGATATTCTGTATAAATTTTACATTTTAAAACTATATAGTGTGTCTAGCTCTAGAGGCACAACATCAAACATAGGCCTATAGCAATTTTGATTTTAATTTTAAAGTTGCACAAAAAAAAGCCTGTCCATTTTTTCTGCATTCGCTTGTTTCTTAATCTAGCTTTCTGACAAACCTGCCATTGTGTACTACAAATATAAAAGCCTGTCTGCATTCGCTTGTTTCTTAATCTAGCTTTCTGACAAACCTGCCATTGTGTACTACAAATACTACAAATATTGTGACTAATTGCCTTTGATCCTCTACTGTAAGTTGCTTTGAACAAAAGCATCAGCTAAATGCAACGCAAATATAAATGTAAAAACATACTAATCTGCTAAACTTCAGACATTAAATGTTTTGCTATTTGCAATGTTTTAAAAATGTTTGATTTATTAACACCAGTGTTGGGTTAAAACGTTGAGCCACTAATAAATGCAAGCTTCTGGCGACATCTGGTGGCACTAAGTGAACATTACACTCTCACACACTAGACCTCCATTAAACCACTGTGATACTATCATGTTATAAGCATTGGTAACTTATTAGTGAAATATCTTTTCTTTGCATAATTTGAAATAAATAAATAAATAAAATAATATAAAAAAAGCAAATATGATGGTTGCTGCCTTCTTGTGGCCATACACAGTAAACTAATTCTCATATTCAAAAAATAAGCAATAAAAAAAAAAAAACTATCCTCAAATAAATTAATACCCACATATATATTACATTCTATATAAAATAATTATAATGTTCAATAATTTATATGCTCTTATTAAGACTTATTCAAATTTAGTTTTGTAAGTATATGAAAACTGTAAAAACCCTGGCATTAAACCAAGAGGAACATTTTTAATGGCGGGAATATTCTGAACATGGATATTAATATGTGAACAGAAAAACAACAGAGACCAGCTAACTGGATTTTGTGGTCTTCTTATTCACGTTTTGAAACCACTGTGAAGAAGCCATGCATTTGATACAAACTGTTAAGTGTTTAATTTACACAGCACTGAAGAAAGAGGCTTATTTTCCCTATTTTCCCTGTCACTGAAGAGCTGATGTCAGCACTGACTAAAGCGCACCGCTAGACGTCAGCAGTGAACCTCAGCCATCAATACTGCTGACTGTTCATCTGACAAAACTCTGAAGAGAAAAAACTATAGTTTACAAGGTTTAACAGTGTACAGATGGTCAACATGAAAATTATTTCTGTGCACTGATGATTTAAATTTTGCAAAAATATGCACAAGAAAATAGTGACACGTCTTCCGCCGCAGAGAACCGGAGAATGACTGACAGCAGGATGAAGAGAGACGCCTGGGAATATAAACCCTCACCTCACAAAGGCAACGCTGATGTCCTGAACAGAGTTTACCAGGGAAACACATTACCGCAGTAAACACCACAATATACAGCTACTGCTGCTGATACTTTATTGTGAATTATTGCAAAATTACTACAATAAAACTGTGGCAACAAGTATTAGTCACTTTACTGACTAATACTTGAAAGGACTTTACTGCTATAATAATAACTAATTATGATACCTTATGATATTCTGTATAAATTTTACATTTTAAAACTATATAGTGTGTCTAGCTCTAGAGGCACAACATCAAACATAGGCCTATAGCAATTTTGATTTTAATTTTAAAGTTGCACAAAAAAAAGCCTGTCCATTTTTTCTGCATTCGCTTGTTTCTTAATCTAGCTTTCTGACAAACCTGCCATTGTGTACTACAAATATTACTGGCTCTGTGACTAATTGCCTTTGATCCTCTACTGTAAGTTGCTTTGAACAAAAGCATCAGCTAAATGCAACGCAAATATAAATGTAAAAACATACTAATCTGCTAAACTTCAGACATTAAATGTTTTGCTATTTGCAATGTTTTAAAAATGTTTGATTTATTAACACCAGTGTTGGGTTAAAACGTTGAGCCACTAATAAATGCAAGCTTCTGGCGACATCTGGTGGCACTAAGTGAACATTACACTCTCACACACTAGACCTCCATTAAACCACTGTGATACTATCATGTTATAAGCATTGGTAACTTATTAGTGAAATATCTTTTCTTTGCATAATTTGAAATAAATAAATAAATAAAATAATATAAAAAAAGCAAATATGATGGTTGCTGCCTTCTTGTGGCCATACACAGTAAACTAATTCTCATATTCAAAAAATAAGCAATAAAAAAAAAAAAACTATCCTCAAATAAATTAATACCCACATATATATTACATTCTATATAAAATAATTATAATGTTCAATAATTTATATGCTCTTATTAAGACTTATTCAAATTTAGTTTTGTAAGTATATGAAAACTGTAAAAACCCTGGCATTAAACCAAGAGGAACATTTTTAATGGCGGGAATATTCTGAACATGGATATTAATATGTGAACAGAAAAACAACAGAGACCAGCTAACTGGATTTTGTGGTCTTCTTATTCACGTTTTGAAACCACTGTGAAGAAGCCATGCATTTGATACAAACTGTTAAGTGTTTAATTTACACAGCACTGAAGAAAGAGGCTTATTTTCCCTATTTTCCCTGTCACTGAAGAGCTGATGTCAGCACTGACTAAAGCGCACCGCTAGACGTCAGCAGTGAACCTCAGCCATCAATACTGCTGACTGTTCATCTGACAAAACTCTGAAGAGAAAAAACTATAGTTTACAAGGTTTAACAGTGTACAGATGGTCAACATGAAAATTATTTCTGTGCACTGATGATTTAAATTTTGCAAAAATATGCACAAGAAAATAGTGACAGTCAAGTTTACTGAATTAATATCTCTTTTATTGACAAATGGGTTTCAAAACGGTGCAGACTTCTTCCATCAAATGCATGTTTGACAGGAAACACTCAGTTTGATCTCTGCTGTGTTTACGGGGTTAAGATTTTTTTATTGCATTTATAATTTCCATGTATTTGGATTACACCACTTTAACATAAACTAATAAACTTAATGTGATGCATATTTGTAACAATAAAGAGATCTGATTTCTGCACTTCATGGTATAGTTTATTACTAACTATTTGCATCTTTTTGGTTTTATTTAAACAATGAAATTTTGAAAATGCATTTATTCAAATAGCTTAGAATAAGCATAAATCTGTTCATTGTGAAAACAATTACATTTAACAATAAGCAATTAAATTTAACAATAAAAATGTATTATTTTACAATACTGTAAAAAAATGGATTCATGAAAAAAATTGCGTATCTTATTATTAAAAATTAAAAAAATACTTTTTATTGTTTTATTGTGTATTGTTTTTTTTTATTTCTTATGTATTCTAATTATTTTGATTATCTTCAAATACTTTTATGTAAAGAACAATGCATTATGTATGAAATGTGCTATTTTAATACATTTTCCTTTAGCACGCTTTATGTAATCGACCCATCTAAGCTGCACAGAAGACATTCAGAGTGTTGTTTAGGTGTTTTAAACAGAGCAGTTTCTTCTTATAAAACAAAACCATGGACCCATTTAACAGCAGATCACTGATTACACACACAATTAAACTCAGACAGCTGTCGCCATCAAGTCTGATATTAGTTTGAAATAATGATCAGAGTTCAGATTTCACTGGTTTTATAACTAGTGCTTAAACACATTCAGTCTGAGAGTGAGAAGGCAACAGCTGAATCTGTCTAAAGCTTCATATTTTTACTGAAAGAAAGTGCAAGTTAAATGTAGATTGATGATGAATCATTCTTCACCATTAAAATCTAAAGTAAATAAAAATGATTTCTCTTTGCTAGACTTGAGACTGTCATCTGTGAGCAGTGTGAAAGTCATTTGTAAGATATCAAGTCACTTTTTGATCTACTTTCTGCTCATTATTGACAGTTTCTGCATCATGATGACCACCAAACTCATCAGTCATCATCCAAATGCAGCGATGTAAAGCTCATCTACACGAATTATCATTTAATCTCCAGATGTGTTTACTCATTTTGGCTGGTTTTAGGTTTTAGGTTCAGATCTCATCCATAAACTTTCACCATTCAGCACCTTCAGCAAAAAAAAAACACCTGTATGTTTAAACTAAAGTTACTGATAAAGATCTTCAGATCAGTGTGTTTGGGTTCTTTAAAGCATCAGATCATCAATGCTGCAGCTCCAGATTTGATCAACTCACACAAGTAATTACTTACATCATCATCATCTGGTGTGAGGTTTGTTTACATATACTGAAAATGCATACATAATTCATAGAGAAGAAAGTATCTGGAGACTTGACAGTTTCTGCATCATGATGACCACCAAACTCATCAGTACTATTACAGAAATCTGACCCGTTTCATTAATGTATGACTGACAAATATGCATCACATTAAGCTGTGTGATCAAAAATGATGGACATTTCATATGCAATTCAAATACACAAATCTTAAATTTAGTTCTAAATATTTCTGTATGATTTGTACACTGTAAAAAATGACCGTGAATTTAACGGTAAAAGACTGTAAAAATGCTACAGTAAAAACCTGTTAAATGGTTAACGGTAAATTCCCCTACTATATACGGTGAAATAGGTTGGTATATTAACATTATATCAGTTAATGAAATTACGGTATTTAACTGTAAATTTAAGTTAAAACTGTAAAACCTCAAATGTTGCTACCGTATTTTTTACGGTAAAATTCCGGCAACCACAGCTGCCGGTTTTTTACCGTTAATTTTACGGAATTTTTTTTTACAGTGTAGTATACAGATCAGTGTTTCTAAAAGTGTTTTCTCATGGTTTTTACAAGTCAAATGTTTCACGAAATTGCGTTCTGCTCCATCAAATCATATCAGGTAAGTGTCTACTAGTGTGAATAACCGTGAATTACACAGCATCTGTGCACAGGTTGTTATTATTAACATATCAAATGACCTGCGTTTCATCTTTACTGGGACTCTGCAGAAGCGTCACTTCAGGAGTGAGTTTAAAGATCACAATATGAATATAATCACTGTTGTGTGTCTTTATTTGTGACCCTGGACCACAAAACCAGTCATAACGGTCAATTATGAATAAATAAGCTTTCCATTGATGTATGGTTTGTTAGGATAGAACAATATTTGGCTGAGATCCAACTATTTGAAAATCTGGAATCTGAGGGTGCAAAAAAAATCAAAATAGTGAGAAAATCATCTTTAAAGTTGTTCAATTTAAGTTCTTATCAATGCATATTACTAATCAAAAATTAAGCTTTAATATATTTACAGTAGGAAATTTACAAAATATCTTTATGGAACATGATCTTTACTTAATATCCTAATGATTTTTGGCATAAAAGAAAAATCAATAATTTTGACCCATACAATGTATTGTTGGCTATTGCTACAAATATACCCCAGCGACTTAAGACTCCAGGGTCATATTTCATCTCTGAGTGATGAAGATTTCACAGAATAAACATTTTTGATAGCAGTAACCAAAGTTACCGTCTCACTGTGTTTACTGCACAGATGATTTGATTACGATTATTAGTGAAATCATAATTAGTTAAAATGTGAGAGACCTCTGGTGACCCCTAGTGGGGGTCATGACCAGGGTTATTATAGTTTACTAAAACAAAAAAAACATATTTTTAAAACGTATTCTATTTCAGCTATTGCTAAGGCATAATTTCCTTTCAGTTTAACTTGATGTACTAAAATAACTAAAAGTAAAACTGAAATAAAAATGAATAAAAACTATACATACATATTCAAAAAACTAATAAAATTGCAAAACCATACAACTAAACTACTAAAACTTTAACTACAACTAAAATGAAAATATCAAAATAAAAACTATGATGCTAAAATAACTAGCTAGACGTGTCCTTGAGAAACTCTAGAATCACACACTGCATCACACCATCAGATCATCCTGATATTTTCCTTTCATCAAAAGTACATTTGTAAATATAAAAGAGAGAGATTTCGAATGTATGATCTCGACTTTCAATCTTAGGGAAAATAACTTTTCAATCAGGAAAAGCAAGCAAACGGATCTTTAATTTGCAGAGGAGTGTGTTCAATCTCAGCAGATATTTTTCAGTTTTATCAGTGACACGGAAACATTTCACAATATTGTCTTTGCAAAAACAATAAAAAAGGTTTGATGACATGCATCCGGTCTGACTTCAAACTGCTTGATGTCATTCGAGTTTTACAGCGGGAGTTTTGGGAGCAATTTGGTTCTTAAGTTTCAGAGAGAAACCTCATCTGTGCGTCAGATCGCTGTGGCTCTAGAGCATTATGGGCTGTACCTGTGGGGTCGTGACCCTGAACGTGGCCACGCTGGTGGGTGTGGAGGGCCGCGGCGAGATGCTGTTCTGGGCCTGAGCTTGAGCCAGAGCCTGCTGAGGAACCATCACCAGCTGACCGATCTCTGTCCGGACCAGCACCATACCTCAAACACACACAACACAACACACACGGGTTATTCACCTCTGACCTCTGAAAAATATAACAAAGCATCACAAAACATAAAAACTTACAATCAACAACTGAAGCCTTTGGATTCTTCTGAAAGCAAAATTGAATAATTCAGATTCTAAGTCATTCTTATATGTTTTTTTTCTTGCATATGTCTGTCTGATGTCTTTATGTGAATGCATTAAGCTAAAAAATACATGAAAAAATACATTTTATTACAAATTAAAAATTGTAATAAATGGTTTTTTTTTTCATATGTATTCTAATTATTTTCTGATTATCTTTAAATACTTTTATCTAAATGTATTATGTATGATATATAGCGCATGCTTTATATAAACGCCCTGCACTAAAGACATTCAAATTAGGATGTTTAGGTGTTTTAAACAGAGCAGTTTGTTTTTGTAAAAAAAAAAAAAAAACACTGTGAATGTGTTTAACTGCAGATCATTACACACACAATTAAACTCAGACAGCTTTCACCGTTAAAAACGATATTAGTTTGAAATAATGATCAGAGTTCAGATTTCACTGGTTTTATAACTAGTGCTTAAACACATTCAGTCTGAGAGTGAGAAGGCAACAGCTGAATCTGTCTAAAGCTTCATATTTTTACTGAAAGAAAGTGCAAGTTAAATGTAGATTGATGATGAATCATTCTTCACCATTAAAATCTAAAGTAAATAAAAATGATTTCTCTTTGCTAGACTTGAGACTGTCATCTGTGAGCAGTGTGAAAGTCATTTGTAAGATATCAAGTCACTTTTTGATCTACTTTCTGCTCATTATTGACAGTTTCTGCATCATGATGACCACCAAACTCATCAGTCATCATCCAAATGCAGCGATGTAAAGCTCATCTACACGAATTATCATTTAATCTCCAGATGTGTTTACTCATTTTGGCTGGTTTTAGGTTTTAGGTTCAGATCTCATCCATAAACTTTCACCATTCAGCACCTTCAGCAAAAAAAAAACACCTGTATGTTTAAACTAAAGTTACTGATAAAGATCTTCAGATCAGTGTGTTTGGGTTCTTTAAAGCATCAGATCATCAATGCTGCAGCTCCAGATTTGATCAACTCACACAAGTAATTACTTACATCATCATCATCTGGTGTGAGGTTTGTTTACATATACTGAAAATGCATACATAATTCATAGAGAAGAAAGTATCTGGAGACTTGAGCAACACGTTAAAATGTTTGAGTGCCACTATATACAAAATATTGTATTACATAACAAAATGTCAGAGCAAGCATGTGTCTGTCTGATATACAAGTATGGATTTCCCTAGAAAATAATGAAAATAGTGAGATGAAAACTAGCATTTGAGTAAATGATGTGAAATATTTTAAGCATCATCTATTTAAAACCATATTTGTTCATTCTTTTTTTTACATGCAGATTAAAACTTAATCAAAACAAAATATTGTTTAAATGATTATTTTTCTATTCTTATGTATCTGTTATGACTCTTTTATGATTGAGAGAGAGCACAAACACACTTCTCAAGTACAACATATGAAAAAAAAAAAAAAACGATTGAAATTTAGAGACAGACACCTGCAGCATTTTATCGCCGATCAAGACACTGAATTACATTCACATATTTATGTCACTTAAGTGTCTAAATACTTTTTTGAGGCCACTAAATATATTTGTATTTATTTAACCATTTGATATTTGGCAAATCATGTTTTTCAAGTTTTTCAAGTATTTCAAAAGTTCAACTTAAAGGGGGAAAACACTTTTTTGTCCCTAATAGAACCAAAATGTTTAAGTGTTTAGACATTTAGACACAGTTGACAGAATTTATGTTTCTTGTGAACAAAATTGATGCTAAATGCTTCTGTTTAAATGCATGAAAGCAGTCTCGTAGTCAAATATACGAAATTATGCCTGCATATGAGTTTCATTTGGACTTTTTAAAGGATCAATTAAAGCAGATAGAGAAGAAAGAGCATCAACAAGTGCTCTTAAAAGCATAACAGGATGAAGTTGGTTGACTGATGTGCAGAATAACAAGCAAGAAGCTCAAATATGAGAGATTTCATTTACGTCATGTTCTGCTCACTTCTTCATTCCCAGAGTTCCAGCTGAGTTATTTCAGAGTTTGCATCACTTTGCTGTTATTCTAACGTGGAAGAGAGTCAGAGGAGACTAGGTAGTGCACATCAAACACTAGTAAGTCATAAGTACCTGGTGGGATGGTGAATCCGGGCGGCAGCTGTATAGTAGTTTGCTGTTGCGGTGGTCTGACAATCAGCTGCGGCGTTACGACCCTCTGCTGCGCAGGCGTCTGCGTCTGCGCAGGTCTGATGACCGCAGCCGCGCTGACAGTGGGTTTGACAGGCGCTGCTGTGGCCGAGGTCGCCGCCGGCTTCGCGTTGTTGTCCGCGGGTGTTTTGCTGTGGTTGATCCGCGCGCCCTGCTGGACCAACGCGGACACCGACGTGCCGTTTCCATTCTGCGCGATGCTGGCGATGATGTGACGCGGGAGTCGGTGCAGCGCGATGGTGGGCGTCCCGCGGTCCAGCGAGATCGCCTGCGGGTTACTGGATACGGTGAAAGTCGTGCTGGAGCTGCTGGGTGGTGATGCTGATGCTGCGTCGCCTCCGTTGCCGTTGAGACTGTGGGATGCTGCGGAGCGCAGCGTGCGCGACTTCCCCAGGTGTTTCTTGCGGGTGTCCCTCGGGCTCTCACCTTTGTTGCCCGGTGCAGGAGCGTTGGATGCTGCTGCTGCCGCTGCTGTAGTGATGATGATGATGCTGCCATGCGACTTCAGATGGCTCTCCTTCTCCAGAGCTTTGGCGTGCTTATCCATGCTGGCGTCTTTCGGGTCAGAATCCGGGTTGCGCGCCGCTTTCCGCGCGTTCTGCTGCTGCTGCTGCGCTTGTTGTTGTGGTTCTGATGGAGAGTCTACAGGAGCAGGCAGCTGCGCTGTTCCTCCTGTCTGCTGCTGCTGCTGCTTCGCGCTGCTCTGGCGCGCGGCGGGCGGCTCGCTCTGGCCCACCAACTGAGACTCCAGCGAGCCCACCAGATCGCTCACAGCTTTCTCGTCCACCTCGGAGAAGAGCATGTCTTCCAGAGGGTCGGAGGCGCCCGCCATGTTCGCTCTGTGTGTGTGATGGGCTGTCTCTGCTGGTGCGCGTCCACGAGCGCGAGTGCGCAGTCGTGTTACTATGGCATTGTGGGAATGGATGTGACGTCAGAGGGCCAAAACCAAACAGTTGTCACCCCTGTTACAACTCAAGGCGGCCGAGGATACTACACGAGTTTGGAGGGAAGGGAGATAGATAGATAGATAGACAGACAGACAGACAGACAGACAGACAGACAGACAGACGAACAGACAGACAGACAGACAGACAGACAGACAGACAGACAGACAGACAGACAGACAGACAGACAGACAGACAGACAGACAGACAGACAGACAGACAGACAGACAGACAGACAGACAGACAGACAGACAGACAGACAGACAGACAGACAGACAGACAGACAGACAGACAGACAGACAGAATAGATAGACAGATAGATAGATAGATAGATAGATAGATAGATAGATAGATAGATGGCTATTCAGATAGATAGATAGATAGATAGATAGATAGATAGATAGATAGATAGATAGATAGAAGAATGTTACTTTTTAACGTTCTCTGAACATTCTGAAATGTAACATTTCAAAAAAAAAATGTTAGACGAACGTCCAGCGGAAACGATGTTTAAACGTCTAACGTTTTCAGAACATTAGTAAAGACCAGAAACCCTTGCACGAACATTCCGTTAACGTCACTGCAAGAACGTTTGTTCATAATTTAGGGACAACTTGTGGCTGAGTCCATGCAGCAAGAGAAACAAAGTCCGGTGAACGATGACGACATTTCAGAGTAAATAGACACCAAGCATATATTAGAAATTAAATTATGGTAGAGGTTTCATGGAAGTATCTAGTCTATCAAAGCATGTGAATTCAATAGCGTATACTTGGAATGACATTATAAAGCTTTAAATCGTGCTATGTGTAGTTATTGCTCTGATGTTTCAGTGTATTTATGATGAAATAATCATTCAGTTTTGCTGTTTATAATCTGGCATGTGCAACTACGAAATGCCTCAGCACTCCTCTTTGGCTATAATTGAAATAGAGTTCATTCTGAACAGTCATCACATATCTATACTATTCTCTTTATAGCCATTTAAGTAAAACCTTTATTGATTTCTAATTCAAAATTCGCCTTTATTTACTTCCCACGGCGTTAAATCGCATTTCGACTCTTACATAATTCCCAATGTAACGGGAGTTATACTAAAATAACTCTCGCGATACCAGCGTGGGGGCGCGAGAGAGGGGGAGGCGCGTTTCCCAGCATGCATCTCGATTCAGTGCGGAGGAAAATGAATGCGGCCATGTCGTGCTAAGCTCGGACTGAAAGGAAACGACATCGAACCACCGAAAAACATAATTCAGTGCGATAATACCTTACGCAAAGAAGAAGAGGAGTCGAGCTGCCGCACAGGAGTGACTTCCAGCGGAAAGATGAGCGGAGGGACGCCTTATATCGGCAGCAAGATCAGTCTGATCTCAAAGGCCGAGATCCGATATGAGGGAGTTTTATACACGATCGACACCGAGAACAGCACTGTAGCTCTGGCTAAAGGTACGTACAATAAACACACACACACACACACACACCTACAGAGAGCATTATAGCATTACAGAAGAGAATTATGTTGTAGCCCTGGCTAAATATCCACACTGTATATGCAAATATGCGACCCTGGACCACAAAACCAGTCATAAGTGTCAATTTTGTGAAATTTAGATTTTTACATCGTCTGAAAGCTGAATAAATAAGCACATGATAATAATAACAACAATAAAACACATCTCTTCCATCTTTATTTGACCCTCTAACTCTAGCACTCTCTATTCTAATTCTATAATAAAAAAAAAAAAACTTGTCCCTTTTAGACTTACACTCTATTCATTTACTAACTGCTTGTTTTCTTTAAAAAAAACAACAACAACGCTAGCTTCTCTATTCTTTTTGTATTCTATCTGTTTTCTTTTTATTTATTATACAATTAACAAAAAGCACAAAAAAAGTCCTCTAACACTAGCTTGCTCTATTCTTTTTCTATTCTATCTGTTGTCTTTTTATTTATTGTATAATTTAAAAAAACCTTTGTTAAGTGTACTGCTTTAAGCTGACTGAGACTTGTTATAGCACTTGTGTATCATTGCTGTTTTGTTGATTCTGATTGCTTCCATTGTCCTCATTTGTTAAGTCGCTTTGGATAAAAGCGTCTACTAATTGACTAAATGTAAATGCATGGTTTGTTAGGATAGGAGGACAATATTTGGCTGAGATACAACTATTTGAAAATCTGGAATCTGAGGGTGCAAAAAAATCTAAATATTGAGAAAATCATCTTTAAAGTTGTCCAAATTAAGTTCTTAGCAATGCATATTACTAATCAAAAATTAAGTTTTGATATATTTACGGTAGGAAATTTAGAAAATATCTAAATGAAACATGATCTTAATATCCTAATGATTTTTGGCATAAAAGAAAAATCTATAATTTTGACCCATACAATGTATTGTTGGCTATTGCTACAAATATACCCCAGCGACTTAAGCTGGTTTTTTGCTCCAGGGTCACATATATATTTACACACAAATTAGATATGAGAGAGTTTTAATACACTGAGAACGGCACTTACCTCATTTACTTTTAGATCGGGCCTAAATCAAATACAGATATAAAGTAAACATACTTACACCTACCACCTAGAGAAAAACATGGAGTGGTGAGGATAATAACTAACATTGCTTGTTTTGTGAATTTTAACATTTTCCTGTCTCGTTTTCTCCTCTAGTGAAGTCCTTTGGCACTGAGGATCGTCCCACGGACAGACCGATCCCTCCTCGAGATGATGTCTTTGAGTACATTATATTCAGAGGAAGTGATATCAAAGACCTGACGGTGTGCGAGCCGCCCAAACCCACCTGCAACCTTCCTCAGGATCCCGCCATCGTGCAGGTGGGCTTCACACGTTCAGGTGTATCTGCAGAACAGACGGCAGAGTGAATATTGACCTGTTTCTTTCTTGTTTGTGCGCAGTCCTCTCTGGCATCCACCGCTGGCCCCACGGCTCCTTCCTTCCAGTCGTATGCCCCGTTCAGTCGGGCCCCATACAGCCAGTTCAGCTCCAGTCCGCTGGTACCCCAGCCATTCGGAGCGGCGGTCACGGGTGGTGAGTTCACACTCGCTCTCGTAGCTTCCAGCATTGGAGATGGTGTTTTGAAGAGAATAAACAAACAAACAAAATTAATTTTCCGAATTTTTGCCAAATATCAAACTAATCTTTGATGTGCTTTAAGGCAAAACCATGCACAAGTCAATTTTGAGCTATTTTGCTTCCGTAACATGGAGAGAATCATGAGAAATACACATTCAAGTGTTAATTTTATTGCACTTTATCTATTTGCATCTGCACCAAAATGTCAATATTGCGGGACTCACTTGACGGTGCAACATGTGCTTTCAATATTTAATGTCATGAGACAAAGGTTATTATCAGGACAAACTCTTAAGGACTTGTTTTATAAGATGAACCCAGAAAAACTTTTACAGTTTCTTTCAAAAGTAAATTTAAAGAATCTTTTATAGAATTTTATGTACGTAACTTTGTTTTATAATTGCTTTATTTAATTTTTGTATTTTGTATTGTGTACCACTGTATTGTTTTCTAATGTGTAATCTTTGTTTGCCATGAAATGGCCTGTGAGGCTGATGTGGCAATAAACTTAAATTAAATCAAAATCTATTTGCATCTGCAGATTTCAATTACAGTTAATATCATTAAAGGCTATTCTTTCAAAACAAGGCTATTCTTTTCTCCACATCAGCAGCACTTGCATAAAGCAAACTTCAGAGTTTTGCTCCTCTCTATATTCTGAAGGTTTTTACAGTGGGGTTTGTTCACAAATAATTCCCTGTCCACATAACATTTTATTCAAAAAAATATGCTTAACATTTTTTATTGCTTTTTTAATTTATTTATGTAGTGATACAATCCAAAATTCCCTCTGTAAAAACATTTAATACATCAGCAAAATCAAACATTTTCAACCTGGCTTTATCCAATGTTCAGATTTCTGCTCTGGAAATGTATGCAATTTGGTGCATATTTAGTTAAATAATGCCTCATTTGCATATTTAAACATAACATTAAAAAATTTTTCATACAAAACAATTAATGTATTTAATCAACTGGGGAAGTATGGGGATATCTATTAGCCTTATTAATGTTCTGTTAGTTTTATTATTTTCTACTGTCCTCACCTGTGGTGTCTTGCCTTGTCCTTATATTTTGAACTGTCCTGTTCTTGCCATTGAAGTGGCCTTTGCTGCTGATGTGGCATAGAAAAGAGTGCAAGTTAAGAGGATAGCTGGCCATTTTTGGATAAATACTGTTAGATAGACAGACAGAATATTCACAAGTGCATATCAAATTGCACATATTGAATGAATGTGCACATAATATGTGCCAAGAACCAGAGAAAATAAAGTTGACCCTTCTCGAGTCCTGCCTTAAAAAATGTACTACTGTTGCCATCGGCTACATTATTAGATGAGATATTGCTCTTTTCAATCTAGGGCTGGACGATATGGCCAAAATTTATATCACGATATATTTCTTAATTTCGGTCGATACGATATAATTCCGATATCGATCGCGATACATATTGATATTGAATTATTGTCCAGCACTATTTCAATCCTTTGCCAGTCATTTTGCAATTCCTGTGTGTTTGAATGATCTTAAATGGAAATTTTCTGCAAATTCAGTAACACTTAACCTGGAGAGGATGCACAAAACCTTTTTTCCCTATATGTTTAAATAAATATTGAGAAGGGTAAATTGAGTGAGCATTGGTTAAGCAAGTGGTGGATCTTAAAGCATGTTTGGCTGTTACGTAAGCTTCATATGAGGGGTTTTTCTCATAGTGTGTGATGTGTTAAAGCCCACACTTCCTCCCCTCACAGGAAGCAGCTCAGGTCCTGCGTTCAGTAGCGAGGCGAGCACTACTGCCCCTCTGTCCCAGAGCTCTGCTCTTCCCCTGCACTCTCGCTCGCTGAGTGCTACCAAACCCAAAGGTAACCCGAGAACCGACGCTAACGTGTGAAGAATGGCTTTAGTGTGTTCGTCTTTTGGCCGTGATTATGCAGGATCACAGCATGTGTCTGAGTCGAGTGTCGTTC